GCGAGAGGCAGGAGCTGTTTGGGAGCGCATCCAGAACGGAGCGCCGATCCAGACCTCGGCGAACATCCCCGAGCCCTGGTCCGACATGATCTGTTTCACCCATCGAAGCCCGCAGGTATACATGGCGCTGCAGCAGAGCGTGGTTTTGGCCTCGGCCCCAAAGATCGATGTTCGTTCTTCCGTTCCGCCAACTCCCCCAAAGCCAAGAAGACTTAGGGAATCATCCAAGACGTCAGGTTCTGAGGACACAAGAACACCAGAAGGGTCCATTATTTCTCAAACTGTTCGTCCAGAGTCTGAGCCACAATCGCCAACCAGTCCCGTATCCACAGAGTCCGCAAGTTACGAGCCAGTAGCACATATGGCATGGGACCTCGATAGGAGAGAACAGGTTGAGATCAATTTGGATGATAGCAATGAAACCGATTCGGAAGTCCCTCCAGATCCCAATGCACAGCCAAGTAGTTCAGGAGTCTTGTCCATTCCATTGCAAATTGACCCCAATGAGAGAACCACCATGGGTAAGAAGCATAGGAGGGCAGTCTTGGAGGGCATTGACCGATTGAACCATCAAGATGCATTGGTCAAATCCAGCATTGGTCTGAAGGACGTCCCAGTTTCAGAGCCTCCAACCTTGGTCATTACTTCGCATCCCCGCATCTTTCAGGAGCTTCAAGCAGCAGATGGTGTTGCAGACGTTTTTGACGTCGGTGTGGGAGCTGAGTACCTCAATCCTGAGGAGGACTCCAAGATCTGGTATGATGTTTTGCAAGACTACAAGAACATCGTCATTGCCATCGAGTATGAACGGAGTACAGATCCTTTGAGACATGGAAAGATTTTGGGTGAAGTAGAATCCCATTGTGACATGAGTGGTAGCCGGTTTTTGCACATTGACGTTGCAACTACCCCGAGATGGGAGGAACATGAGTTTCCACAGATTCCCCATATCAACGACCATGACTTGGCATTCACCTGCAATGATCCCAAGTGGACTGAGCTTTTCGAATCGTGGTTTCGAGGGCAGACCATGAATGATGTCTTGTCTTGGCAGTTTGTTGATTGGTTAGGTGAATGGACCAATGACACAACTTTGGACGATGAGATGTCTGTTGCATTTGTTGGTGAACTGCAGGAAGAGGTGATGGACGATGAACAGCAGTTCGATGCCATCTGGGATGATGATGATCGTGCTCAGGTGAACCCAGTAGAAGACCTGATCTCGGAAGAGACACTGGTCGATGAAGTAGACATCCCAGGCCTGCCAGCAGATGAAGCCGAACGACGCCGGATGTGGCGCAAGTTGCCTGCACGTGTGAGGATTGGTGTGAGAAGATTGCATAGGCAATTTGGACACGTCCCCAAACAGATGATGATCCATCTCCTTCGTGCAGCAAAGGTTCGAAAGGAATTCATCGATGCTGTCAGGATCCACAGATGCGAAACTTGTGAAGCAACATCCCAGAAGAAGGCCACGCACAAGACAGCATTGCCTAACAACTACTCGTTCAACCACACTGTAGGAATTGATGTGTTTGAAGTTCACGACATTTCAGGTGACAAGTTCCAAGTGTTGAACATGGTTTGTTTGGGTACTACTTTCCAGCTATGTGAGGTTGTTCGTTTTGGTGCTGGTCAACCGTCTTCTGCCGAATGTCTGAAAGCACTGAGGAAGCGTTGGTTCTCATGGTGTGGCCATCCTGTGAACATTGCATGTGACAGAGGTCTGCACAACCGAGGTGTCATGAAGAAGTACATGGATGAACGTGGTATCCAAGTGTACCACACCCCTCTGGAAAGCCCGGAGAATCTTGGTCGTGTAGAACGTCATGGAGGCATTGTCAAGTCACTCTTTAGGAAGGTATGCAAAGAGACAGGCGCTATAGGCAGAGAACAGGTTGAGCAGGTACTGCTCGAGGTAGTAGCTACCAAGAACAACTCTAGTAGAGTCGGAGGTTTCTCGCCTAGTCAATGGGTACTTGGAAAAGGACCCCGGTCAGATCCGAGCCCATTGTCTGAAGAACGGTTTGCCGAGCTTGGAGCTATTGAAGCCCGCCACAACCCAGAGAGCATTTTCGCCTTACAGCACATGGCCAGGCAGGAAGCTCAGAAAGCATTTGTTCACCTAGATTGTTCGTCAAGGGTATCCCGTGCGCTTACTCGCAATGCTTCCAGCCTTCCTCGGGAGTATGCAGTGGGTGATTTAGTGACCTTTCGTCGAGACAATCAAAAGGGGGGGCACCACATGGAGTCCCACTAGTCGGGTGATAGGCCATGAAGGTGAAAGGAATTTGTGGTTGTTGCGTGGAAATGTTCCAGTGTTGGTCGCCAACCAAAACGTGAAGATTGCTACGCCGACCGAAGCACTAGCTCATGCTGTTTTGCATGGTGAGCCTGTTTTTCCCGAAAACGTTGTCAAGGAAGGTGTTCAGCAGTCTTTCCTTGATGCACGTGCAGATCCGAGCGAACCCGGATCCCCAATACACATCGAATCTCAAGAAACCGAACCCCAATTTCCGGATGCTGGTTCACTACCCCCTGTTCCAGAAGATGATGAGTTAGATGTAGGGATCAGACCGGATTTCTTTGATGAAGACCAATCCGAAGGTGAAGATGCGCTTGAAGAGTTGAGTAGGTCCGCTAGCTCCGTTTCACGTCCGTTCCCTGACACAGGAAATGAGCACAGCCGCAATGTGAGGCCCCGTGTCGCCGAACCGGAGAGTGAACGCGGTACCTCATTGCAACCATCCCGCAGGGAGTCCACGAGTGCTCCACATGCATGGCCTAATGTGTATGATCATCTGAACGACTTGCCAGCTTCTCTACGAGAACATTTTGAGAGAGCACGCCAGAGAGACGGAGAGCTACCAGAGCAAGATCGAGAAGAAGCACATGCCATGTGGACTAGTTTTCTTGCCCAGACTGAGGATGAAGCAGAGCTAGGTAAGAAGGTTCTAAAGAGCATTCACTATGAGTCTGCGCCTCCAGAAGTGCAGAAAGCCCTGCAGGAAACAAGGCAAAAGGAATGGTCCAAATTTGAAGATTTTGGAGCAGTAGTGGCATTGACCCCAGAACAAGCGCAAGAGCTCATTGACGAAGGGCACCAATGCATTCCATCCAAATGGGTGGATGTAGACAAGGCAGAGTACAAGAAGGGGAGAGACCCTGACTACAAGCCCATGTATAAAAGCAGACTAGTTTCGCGCGGGAACTTCGAAATGACAGAGGGTTTGAGGTCAGATAGTCCAACGGCCGATGTCGAGATGCACTGTCTCGTCTGCAGTTGGGCAGCGTGCCACCAGGCCGACATTCATTCCGCTGATATTACCTCGGCATATTTCCAAGGACGACCACTGGACCGAGTCCTTCTCATGCGTCAGCCAAGAGGAGGTTTGCCAGGTGTAGAACCCAATGTCCTTTTTCTCGTGAGGGTCCCTGTATACGGGATCACGGACTCAGGAAGAGGCTTTTGGTTGCGTTTGGATGCCGATGCACGTAAGAGCGGCCTGAAGGCAAGCCAGTTTTTCCCAGGATTGTACTACCTCCCAGGTGAGCAGGGAGGAGATGCTTGTGCCCTCATGTGCACTCACGTGGACGACTTGCTTTATAGTTTTCTTCCGGAAGGCGGGGAAGTGATGAAGTCTTTTCTTGCCAAGTTCAGTGTCGGCAGCTCAGACACTAACAGCTTTCGATATTGTGGGAAGCAGTTCGTGCGAGGAGATGACAAGGTCATCAAAGTCGACACAGCAGATAACACTAGGAAGATTCATGGAGCAGATGTTGGGTCTAGGCTAGGCAGTGAGCGTCTTCAGCAAGGAGACATCACGAAGCTCAGATCGATCACCGGATCGCTCGCCTGGATCTCGAGACAGACCAGGCCTGACCTTGGTTACAGGGTAAGCCGTTTGCAGTCTAGCATTAAAGATGCAACTGTGTCCACGTTGGCAGACGCTAACGCAGTCGTTGTCCTGGCACACAAAGGTCACGATGTGGCATTGTGTTTTCCTGCGGCTCATCTCCAATGGAGTGAAGTTGGTGTGATCACGGTCACAGATGCCTCCTTCTCCAACGAGAAGAACTACAAGTCGCAACAGGGCAGGATCCATTTTCTGGGTGATCTCAAGGAGATCAAAGATGACAAGACGACCACCTATAAGGTGATGCCATTGTCTTTTGGATCCACGACAATTAAGAGAGTCTGCCGCAGCACTCTCCAGGCCGAAACGTATTCCCTCCAGAACGGACTCGAGACAGGTGACAAGCTGAGAGGTGTGATTGCGGAGATCAAGGGCAAGATTCGCAGTTTGAAGACATGGGAAGATGATGCCCGTGAATGCATTCCGCATTTGGCGATGACTGATTGCCGTTCGCTTTCTGACCACCTCAATCAGGAAGTCCTGGCCAAGGTGAGTGACAAGCGCCTTGGTATCGAGTTGCAAGGAATCCATGAGAATTTGTGGCAAGAAGGAAGGCCAACATGGATTGCTTTCGAGAATGGAGGAGACAAGTTGATCTGGATTGCCACCAGTACGATGGTGTCGGACTGTCTGACGAAGTCCATGAAACCAGATCTGCTACTTCGAGTGCTGAAGGAGTGCCACTACACTGTACAGAAGCAGAAGTAGATTTCTCCAATGCCTTAGGAAGACACAAGAGTTTCAATGTATAGCCGTGTGACACCTGTAGAACAGGTTGAGTGTGAATTTGAGGTAGGATCTCATTCTGTTGAGCCAGGTTGTCACACTATGTTGTGTCTGCCGCCGTTTGGCTCCTAGGGCCCTTGAGCTATACCGTGCTCGCTTTCGCAGTGAAAAGAGCGTGTGAACAGTACGATTCCGGTTGCTACCGACATAATTATGAAATTGTGGAGCACTCAATCGCATGCCACAGTAGGGATGGATTACAGGACAAACAAGACTAAAGCCACACCCCAACTATTCGCTTCACTTTGTCCTCAGCTGCTCTATGGATGGTGTCACTCAATGAGACAGCTCACGCAGGCGATAGCAGAGCAGCGATTCAAAAAAGGCTGCAGGCGCTGCGGCTTAAGCCGCGACGGTTTCGGAGGACCAACACGGAGTGTCGCCAAAAGACCCACAACGAAAGAGAATGTCCTTTTTGCTGTATACGAACACCCGGTGGTGAAATTGTTCTGAGATGAAGCTCTAAAGTATAGACTCCCCACAGGGCCCCACAGGTGGGATTCCAGAAAAATTCACGTAAATGTGGGGGTGAACAGGATATTTAGACCACGAGAACTGGCAGACATGCACTAGGTTTAGACCACTCCACACAGGGTTCAGAGATGCTGAGAAGGGGCAGAGGCTCAAATTTTATATCCTGTTGGATCCTATCTAGAAAACAGGGGTCCATTTAGCTTACAGGGATTCTTCTTTGCACAATTGCTATTCCGATTTTGTTTACGAGGAACCGGAGAATAGACTCTTGGAAGACTCTCTTCAAACCACGGCCCCGTGCTAGGCCCTCCTCAAGCGCAACCGAGGTCCCAGAAAGGCAGACATGGACAGAGAAAGAACACTCTGGGATTTTTTATGTCCACTAGGGCTCGAGACAAGTGTGGCCTTGACTCATGTTGTATATAGCGGGGCCGCATGCACATGCGGCATATGGCATACCGTGTTGCGGACCAAACATTTGGGGCCAGAACATCGGACACACAGAGAATGTCTCTGACTGATCACGAAAGGTAGCCTGGTAAGGACTACCTTGAGTTTGCTTTGCGAAGCAAAGGGACTGGCTTGAGAGCTTGCTCGGGACTAAAGATTGGTAGATCAATGTCTAACACCCCCACCCCCCCCTCCCATGTGATGAATGATTGAAAAACCATTTGTTTCCCCCCCCCCCCCCTCCCCTCCACTCCCCTCCCCGTCCCCTCCTCTCGTCGCCAGCGCTACTAAATTCTGGACATAAGGTGAAGTCATGCGCTTAACAGTCACAGCAGTACGACGCTGGCCATGAGGTTGCGCAATACAGCACGAACCCTGCGCAATGAGGTCGCGCAATGCAGCTTCGATGCCGCGCGTGCGCACCCCGCAGCCTGACACAGCGCGTACTGCGTTCACAGACCATATTGCTCGACACCAACGAGCATCGATGCAACACAGCCTCTCTGCAAAGCCCTGTGGAGAAACCCCTCGCGTCGCGGAACACCATTCGACTCAGCCTTATACCATAGCGTGGCGAAATCTTACCGCATCGTGGAGCACACCCACCTAATAGCGTGACGTCCATCCCTGGCAGTACCGGCCGCACCCCTCCAGCACTATCCTTACAAGGGGGTTGGTCACTGAGTCACTGCGGCTTCGACGCAACGCGTGCAGGCCTGTAATCCTGACACAGTGCGTGCAGCTGTGGGACCATAGCTGGTACACATGCGAGCGTTTACGCATTGCGACTTTTACGCACGCCTGTTTTCACACACCTAGACACAAACGAGCGTCGACGCAACGCAGCCTCTCTGCAGAGCCGTGTGGCGCAATCTGACCGCAACGGAGTTCCTCTTGAGCCTTCTTATGCCTTCTTGTGCTCTCTGGCTTTGCTGGTTTCATCCATGATTGACCAAGGGGCACGTTCCTGAAACACCGGAGACAGTCCCTCACCAGAAAAGGTCCCGACAGCTACTCGGTCCGTCTCTACCTTTCGTGTTTCCCCGCTCAAGTTGACTGGTCTAGTTTCTACAGCGCAAAGTATGATTACCACGTGAACTACAGTATGTACCCCGCCTATATAAGCCTCTTAAAGGCCCTGCTGACTAGTAGGCATGCTTTTTGGGGGGGGCCACACCAACGTGTCATCTTTGCCGATGTGATTTGGACGCCTTTGGATGTTTTCTTAGGAACCATTCATGTCGTAGCAGACCATGTGCAAGAAGCGGCAATGATTTCCGCTGCGGAATTGATGAAGTCAGGCGACTTCTTGCAACACCTGCGACCCATATTGCAGAATATTGAATATTGCAGACTGTTAAATGGAATATCCAAGTATGTCACAGGATCTCTCCCTTCAACCATATCAATTGCTCAATACCACTTGCCACAAATTCACTATTCCAACGATACTTGCAAGCACGTCAGTACTTTGCCTCAAACTAGAATTATATACCTCTGAACACTCGAATTACTGTGGCATACTACTTCAATTTACAAATCGGCGTCAGCTTGAATTGAATCAGAACCTAAGACTGCTACCTACGATTTGATTAGTAACAAGAAGCTACTAGGGGCTCCTGGCCATACTACTAGGAGCAAGGACGCTACTAGGGGCTACTGGCATTGCTACTAGTAACAAGAAGCTACTAGGGGCTCACATCCTGAGGCCATCACAGATGGCATCCGACCTTGCCAGGTGGTGACCCTACATGCTGAGGTGAAGCGTTCCCGAAGCTCTGAGGCCGGCGTGAAGAAACACCGTCGAGTCATGTCGAGTTATATAATAACTAGTAGCTTCTTCTTACTAGTAGCGATGCCAGGAGCTACTAGTAGCGATGCCAGGAGCTACTAGTAGCGTCCTTGCTCCTAGTAGCGATGCCCTTTGTTACTAGTAGCTTCTTCTTACTAGTAGCGATGCCAGGAGCTACTGGTTACTAGTATAGCGTCCTTGCTCCTAGTAGCGATGCCCTTTGTTACTAGTAGCTTCTTCTTACTAGTAGAGATGCCAGGAGCTACTAGTAGCGTCCTTGCTCCTAGTAGCGATGCCCTTTGTTACTAGTAGCTTTTTCTTACTAGTAGAGATGCCAGGAGCTACTAGTAGCGTCCTTGCTCCTAGTAGCGATGCCCTTTGTTACTAGTAGCTTCTTCTTACTAGTAGCGATGCCAGGAGCTACTAGTAGCGATGCCAGGAGCTACTAGTAGCGTCCTTGCTCCTGATGCCCTTTGTTACTAGTAGCTTCTTCTTACTAGTAGAGATGCCAGGAGCTACTAGTAGCGTCCTTGCTCCTAGTAGCGATGCCCTTTGTTACTAGTAGCTTCTTCTTACTAGTAGCGATGCCAGGAGCTACTAGTAGCGATGCCCTTTGTTACTAGTAGCTTCTTCTTACTAGTAGCGATGCCAGGAGCTACTAGTAGCGTCTTTGCTCCTAGTAGCGATGCCCTTTGTTACTAGTAGCTTCTTCTTACTAGTAGCGATGCAAGGAGCTACTAGTAGCGATGCCCTTTCTTACTAAAAGCTTCTTCTTACTAGTAGCGATGCCAGGAGATACTAGTAGCGATGCCCTTTGTTACTAGTAGCTTCTTCTTACTAGTAGCGATGTGAGGAGCTACAAGTAGCGTCCTTGCTCCTAGTAGCGATGCCCTCTGTTACTAGTAGCTTCTTCTTACTAGTAGCGATGCCAGGAGCTACTAGTAGCGTCCTTGCTCCTAGTAGCGATGCCCTTTGTTACTAGTAGCTTCTTCTACCTAGTAGCGATGCCAGGAGCTACTAGTAGCGTCCTTGCTCCTAGTAGCGATGCCCTTTGTTACTAGTAGCTTCTTCTTACTAGTAGCGATGCCAGGAGCTACTAGTAGCGATGCCCTTTGTTACTAGTAGCTTCTTCATACTAGTAGCGATGCCAGGAGCTACTAGTAGCGTCCTTGCTCCTAGTAGCGATGCCCTTTGTTACTAGTAGCTTGTTCTTACTAGTAGCGATGCCAGGAGCTACTGGTTACTAGTATAGCGTCCTTGCTCCTAGTAGTGATGCCCTTTGTTACTAGTAGCTTCTTCTTACTAGTAGCGATGCCAGGAGCTACGAGTAGCGTCCTTGCTCCTAGTAGCGATGCCCTTTGTTACTAGTAGCTTCTTCTTACTAGTAGCTCCTGGCATCGCTACTAGTAAGAAGAAGCTACTAGTA